AGCAAATTGACATATATTATTTGAAGGGAGAATGCATACCTTAATCTCTTTTCTTTTTTTCTTTCTTTAGGGCGTGGAACAAGAAAGTCCCTCTATAAAAGAAGATAACTGCAAATATTGGGGCAGGAGCTGGGGGGGGGACACGTATCAGAGGTTTGCATAAATCCAAAACTCAGTTATTATTCTCTTGTATATTTTCGAAGTTGCTGTGCACTCTTAGAGGGTAAGAAGTAGCACTGTAAAGACTGAGGACACTATTAAAATGGGATTAAGTATTTAACACTGAAGTCACCTTTTTACAACTAGCACATCCATTATTTAAATAATAAATTTAATAGAATTGCACTTTGAGACTTCTTGTACTCCATCTATACATGGAAGCAAAAAAGTGATAGGGATGTATGTGCATGAATGCCATTGTAGCATACTACTTACTGCTGCCCTGTTCTTAAGATCTGCAGGATTGTGAAGCCTGTCAGTGTCTTCTCGCCTCATAGTCAGTTTGTCTATGTGATGTGGACATAGCTACAAGATTCTCTTCCATCAGCTGGATTTTGGGCTGGATTTGTTTTTGACAAAGTGTCAAGGAATATTGTTAAAGCTGTAGCAAGTCAAGTACTGACTTGAAATTTCAAGGCAGTTCCTCAGATCTTACTCTCTTTAAATACATGATTGAGGACTAAAACTAAAGCATTGCATTGATGTGATGCTTCCCCCTCCTCCCCTTCTTTTTCTGTGGAGGCTTTTGAATCCTCTATGGAGACCCTGAGCTGGAGAGATGGACTTTGAAGGTGAAACAGAAATTTTTACAACAGTGGTGTGCCCTGTTCCCTCATTTCTTACTGATGACTTCTATTACAGTTGATACTGTCCTTGGCAACTTACTACAGAAAAGTCTCCTTATAGAATTAAGTTCAGCAGAAACCTAGTTTTATCATCTATCATCTCATGAATAATGGTAATAGACTGATCTAGATGAGGTGGATGGCTCAAAAATGTGTGATTTTTTTTTTCCATGTCTGTGAAAGCTAGTATCACCATCTGAGAAGAATAAACATGATACTGCCATTCTTGGATGATTCCCAAATAAAGTGATAGTGTGAGTGAAAAAGGTGGGGGAAACTGTGTCAAAAAAACACCCAACCCCCACCCCCCCCCCAAAAAAAAAAAACCCCCCCCCCAGTTTTTTTTTAATAAAGGGGGGGGGGAATGCAATGGACAGACAGGACTTGTCTTCTGCCTCCTCTCCCAATGTTTTTATTCTGTCTGTGCCCTAGAGTGACCTACACAGATAAAAGTGGCGTTTCCTGTGACTGCATTCAAGTTTTGTGCCTACCCATTACTAGTTTGACCTGTAACTGAGGTTATGCTGTTTTCCCCTCAGTAAGGAGTATTGAGGTTTCCCTACCCAATTGATCCTTGATTTTTTTCCTATTATTTTTAATAGCACTTGCTTACTTGTTAAAGAGCTACTGTAATTATAGCCTTTACCCCAAGCTGTTAGGGGAAAGGATCCTCTTTAACACTGCGATGCCAAGTTTTTATTTCCTCTCTACCCTATGCACTGCAAGAAAATAAGGAATACAAATTCTTATTTGGCTCTTGTGCTGCACAAAATCTCTGTTGCATCGGAACCTCAAAGAATAAAACAAGGGAGGGAATTACTTCAACCATGGAGCTTTTTAATACTCTGGGAAAAATAGGACTGCTGCTCTCGAATATCTAATACAGGAATATGCTGCTTTTAGAGGGGGATAGACTTTATTCTGATGGGGAGAATGAGTGGTAGAATCTCTTCAACTTGAAGACTGTAAGCGATGACCTAAGAGGTCTCAGTTGCAGCTGAGGATTACTCTTAGGTAAGGACTGACTACTTTTTCCCTGAACTTGAGTGTAGCTTTGGGATTGAATACTAAGCCAATTCTGCTGACAGGCTTAACTGTGTCTTTTGCTGCTTGTCTGATAAAGGAATATTCATGACCTCACAGTTAGATGGCACTCTTTTTTACGAGATTTTTGGGAATGGCTAATGTTTCACAGGTATTCCCGAGATCATGCTAGTAATCCTTTCACAGGTCTTGCACTAGTCAGTGTGCTTTCTACCCAGACGTAAGAAGCAACTTAGGGCCTGGTGATGCTAGCTCCCAGGAATATGTGAGGGAGTAGCAGTAGGAGTGTTTAGACAGCTCTTTGTCTGAAAAGAAATGCTATTTTAAACTAATTGCTTAAAATCTTGTAGTGTGCCCATGCTATGGATCCATACCAATGCTTACAGTAGTATTCATGAATGTTCCAGTGCTCCAGAAATACTTATTGGATAATGTTACATGTGGTGTACTCTACTCTGACAATACTAGTCCTGTGACCTTAAAACTAAATCTTCTACTTGGCTTTTTCCTTACTCAGCAGCGTGGATGGTTTGCGGACTGCATCTTAAGTCAACTGGCTTACAACTGTATTTAACGTTCAGAAAGGTTGTGAAGTACAAAATGCATTTTAAAAGGGTGTGAATTAAAGTCCAGGCTCTCTTTATTCAGCCAGGTAACCAGCTGCAGTGATATTTGAGATTTAATTTGTTACAGATGCACATACGTGTCAGCTGTTGTTAGCGCTGAAGCTAGATTGCCCAGTGATGAGTAACTGCGGTGCTGGCAGCATTATGAGCTTGTAACTGTAGCAGTACTGCAGTGCCTTTGAAGTTTTCTCATGCTTCCTGCAGCGTGTACCGAAAGGCAGCTGAAGAATCTATTTGCTGCTTGGCACGCCAGTAACAAACCATAGAGGCCTCTGAGACTGCCATACTAGGAACTTTGCTTGGACAGACTTACTGCTGTGACTCAGAATTTCTAAATCGTTATTTGTAGCTAGCTAAAACCTCTGTTGCAAAGTGGGTGTGGTGTAATCGCTGAAGTGGAGCCAGTGGGTTATGTTGGCTTGCCAGGTTTTAATTCTATATTTTAACTTTCACTTTGGTTGCATCTGCATGACATAAAGCTTTCCTTTTTACAATGCCCTGTTTTCTGCCTAATGTTGGAAAAGATTAATTACAGATCTTTCTATTAAAATAAAACAATGGAAGACAGGAGCCAATGGCAAAACCCACTCATTGCATGCTAACTGTAGGCATACCAAGGAAAAACAATTGCACTCTTTAAAGAGTCGTCCTCAGATTCCCCTGACACACTGCCACCAGCTATCTCGGTCAACAAGACTATAAAGCTCAAGTAATTTCATGGCCAAAGAAATAAAACAGATGTTCGTATTTTTGCTGAAGTAATCTTTCTGAGAAGAATGGTTTGGAGTGTTAAGATAAACAGAGCTGGGAGCTGAAGACCTGTTAAGCTGTATTGCCTATGAGGTACGTTGTAGCTGCATTTCACACTTATTTAGATTCATGGGACTGTACAATTATGCTATTACTACCACTCAGGCTTCAACAGAACTTTCAAATGGAAATATAGGTGTCTACAAAGAAGGCAAGGGAAAAAAAAATTGGTTCTTTGAACAAAAACATACATAGTTCAATGGTTAAGATTTACAAAATAAGGCTCATCAGTCTCTCATCAGTCTTTCAAGATTATTGCTTTCTACCCTGCTTTCTGGATTTACTTCTACATAGAATCATTTTCCGTAATATAAATGCGTGTTGGTATTTATCTTTAGTCTATGCATTTCTAAAAGACCTAGAGTCTCTTAAATGCCAGCTTTGGCACTGCTTAAAATGCTAAATGATGAAATGAATCATGCTTCTCGGCACTCCAGCGCTGGCTGCTAGTCAGCACTACTCAGAACCTCACTCTGTTGAAACTGTTAGCTTTTATTTTGAAATTGGCTCTACTTTTATGAGTTTCAGTAGAGAACTACTAAAATCTTTATGTATGGGATATGATAGAGATCTAGAAAACTGGTAATGATATGGGGAAAACGAATAGGAATCAGTTGTTCACATGCCTTCCATTATAAGAACTAGGGTGCATGAAACGAAACCAGTAGGGAGCAGTTTGAAAGCAAATGATGTTTCTTCACTAATTATTAATTAATCTCCAGAGCTCCTTGCTGAAGGAAACTGCAAAGTTTACAAGAAGTGACTGGATGTAAAAGAAAAAATACATCCGTGGCTACTAAATACTAAAATATAACCTATGATTCAAAGTACCTGCACTACAAGCTGTAGAGGCTGAGACAGCATTTTGGTGAAGTAACAGAAATAACGCCACTTGAGTTTGCGCTGCTCTGTTGTGTAGGCATCCACTAACCACGAGTAGAAAAAGATACTGGGTTAAACAGACCTTTAGTCTGGTACGGAGAGTGATTTGGTATCTCAAAACAAACTTTTAAATTGCATTTGATGTAAGTTAGAGAATGGTCTTTTACAGTATTTTTCTTGATCGTTCAAATAGTAAACCCTGGTAGGTAAAATGGGAAGGACCCATTAACAAGGAATGGGATGACAGACTGAGGGAAAACCCAGTTTGTTTTTATTGAACTAAACTTCAGAAGAATCGTAAATGACAAAAGCTACAGTAACTGAAAAGATCTTTAGGTTAGCTCTGCTCTAGACAAACTTGAGTGAGAATTCTCTTGGAATGCATCAGGTGAATAATAGCTGTGGCTTCCAGCATCTGTCCAACAATCACCAATGCTATAAACACAAGGATTTTCTCAGCACCAAATGTGGCAATACAGAGAACCAGGCCATTATAAATCTCCTCATGCCGTTTCAGCTGTTAAATCTTGTCCTGGTGAAAGAGCCAGGAGCTTTGAATTTGATGATGATGCTGACACAGGGAACTATCAGGAGTCACCAGTAAATCCCATCACAGGGAGATCTGCTAAATAATACTGGAGGATAAAACACAACTCCACGTTCAAGCTCTGGGAATAAGATAAAGAATCTTTTTGTAAGTAGGCCTTGACTACCTCGTTTTTCCCCAGAACATATTGTGAATGACTGGCAAGGAATGGGGATTTATTTTTACTAAATGACTCTTACACAGGTAGGAGGGAGAAAACACATTTTAATGTATACTTTCCCCTGTCCTCTTTTCCAAAGCTCTCAGGAGGAAAAAAAAAAAGTCTTAAATGCATTTTAGTCTATGGTTCCTTGATTTCACTGTTAATGCTCACTCCACTAATGTTAGAGCTTTATCATGCTTTTTTTCAATATAAGCACAGAGGCTAAGTTCTATATAAGTCCTTCCTAGTCCTTTCAAAACAAACCTGATTTTCTTTCTCCTTTTGCAGAGTACCAACATACATCATCTAGGTCCTCAAGTCACAGATTTGTACCTTGATGTTTCAAAAAGAGATGCTTACTCTGACGCAGTTTATAGCTATCTCAATCTTTCTAATCAAGTCTGCCTCGCGAGATTATTTAAAAGAAAAGTGTGGTCAGTCCACAAGGTCAATTAAGTACACAAAACTTTCACTTCTTCCTGCTTACAAGTTCTTTACTACTGTTCTGTGGCTTACATGCACATAGTTGAAAACCATTTTGAAAGCCTTACTCATTTATATTCTTGTGGGATGATTCATAAAATATTACTACATAAAATAATTCTACTGAACATAAGAAGTAAGTTGGAGTTTACTTCCCCAGGCCTTTTTAAAAGGAAAAAAAACCCTCAAATGTATCAAAACAACTGATACTGAAGTGTATGTAGAAATTAATCTTTTTCATTTCTAACATGAAACCCCCCTCTTTAAATAACTAAACCCACTACCTCTTTACAATGAAGTTGAACATCATTACACTCGGCTCCCACTCCCATGGTTTGGAGAACACTTTAAGTATTGCGCAATTGGACGTATTAATGGCGATGATGTTGAGATTTTGCTACACAAAAAAACCAAGTCTTGCTGACACTACTGTTTTGTCTTAAAGTAAATCCCCTTGATTAACTTTTTTCCCCCCCTTCAGCAGTGCTCTTTATTTCCCTAGCTGCCAGTACTAGCATAAGTACAATGAACTTCAGCACATAGGCAGTATGCAGAGAAAAAAAATACAGTACAACCTGCTTATTATAAGCACTACAAGTGAACTGTCAGTGCTCTGCATGGTGCAAACTGCAGTCCCATTACAATGAGGCATTGTGTATAATAAAATAACTTCATGGGGAAAAGACACTTCAATAGACTGCTGAATTCTGCAGGTTTGTTGGCGATACCCTGGTAGTCACTCCTTTCTGCTGATAGTCACATGCGGCAATGCAGAGGCCCAATTTGACCAAGACAGATGACCGTTAGCACAGGTTTTACAGCATAAAGACATGGTTGATTGAGCATCGCCTAATGCAGCGCTCTTCTTTCTGGCTGCAGCACTGTGGAGGGGCAGAAGAGGACAGCCAGTGTAGGATGCTGTATGTATCCATCTGTATGTTCCGAGTTTAATAAAGCCCTTTCAGGTGGTTTCTTCCTCATTCTTTGGATCTTTCCTTGCAGTTCACAAGTAGAGGTCAATAAGCATGCAGCAGGTGACTGCCGTCAGTCAGATTCCGACCTCTCATTAGATTTAGATGATTTACGCTTTCTCTTCTTCTTCTTCTTCTTTTCCTTTTTTTTCTTTTCCTTCTTTCTCTTTTTCTTCTTGTGTTTATCTCTACATTCTGAGGAAGTGGAGCTGCTGCCATCTTCATCATCCTCATCACTGTCATCACTGTTATCATCATCATCGTCTTCTGAGGTAGAGTCTTCCAGGAGCTGCTTCAGTTGCTGTATCCTGAGTTCAAAAAATGTGAATGAGAATCCTTTCTAGCTCTCCTCTGCCTGTAATAACTTATTCTAGTTTTCACCTGTTTGCTTCCTAGCTTGAGAAATGGAAGCTGCGTGCAAAGCACACGGGAACACTTCCTCTTCTGCCGAATTACACTCCCGTTACAGTTTTCACAGACTGATAAAAGCAACCTCTTTTGAGATGAGCAGACAGTCTGTTCTCAGGGACTTTCCATCCCACAGGATATCAAAGACAGACTAGCTTATTGGCCAATATTTATGTGTGCAAAATAATGGGGCAACAGCTACCACCAGACCACCATAAGTTCTATGCTTATCCATACACAGATGCATATTGGGTTATGCTTATTTTATTGTTGTCTTCAGTATCCTCTCCAAGGATTTGCTCTTTTTTTTAAAAAAAAGCAACACACCTGCAGCAGCAGTACTACTCTATGGGCTACCTATAGTTTGTTTAGTTATCTCATTGATGCAGTTCAAGTAAGAAAGCATTAAAGAACTCTGCTGCTTTATATATTGAATAATGACCTCACACGAGGAACAACTAGCTTTCTAAATCCATCCCTTCATGTCTACTGAGGGCACTCTGATGTACCAAATTTTAGAAAATATCTCAGTGAAGACAGTGAAAGAAAAAAAAAAAAATCAAACTGTTTTTGAGGCCTAAACCAAAAACTCAAGTACCTGAATATTATGGCATAAATGAGTATGACTCCTCTTTAAACTTTGTTTTGGGAAAAAATATAGAAGCTAATAGAATCAGAGAGGTAGGAAGTACTACTGAGTGATTACTGAGACAGTAGAAATGCATTAGTGTCCGCCAACATAAAGAAACTGCCATTAAAAAATGTTCTGAGTTGGTAAGGGTAGCTTGTATCAAAATTTCACCTATACATTAGTATCATCTTATCAAAATGAAAACCAAATTGAGAATGCACTTTACTACAGAAACACACTTACCTCATTTCTTTTTCATGACGTTTATTTTCCCTTATTATATCATACATTGGATCTTCATGTGCCTTTAAAGTGGAAAACAGAAAATCCAATGTTGGTGAAGAAAAGTATTTATCACTGACTGTTGTATTTCTTAAAAAAATAAACCAAAGCAACCCAATGCAAGAGGGTTTTATCAGAAGATGAAGTACATTTAGCGAGCTCTTAATTCACACTCTCAGACTTAACATCGTTAATCTGAACTGTTTTTTTTACTTTAGGAAAAGCTTATCTAGTTACATCACCAATGAAGGGGACTCTGCTTAGGTATACCACCTCTCTCTCTCCCTCCAATCACAGTTAACTAAGAGGACCCCATACATACACTATAGGAATAGCTAGACATAGAAGGAATGTTGAAGTTCAAAATAATGAGCTGTGCCCTTATAGCATATTTTAAAAACTTGGATACAAACACACAGGAATACAGGAGCAAGGAATAGAAGACAAACGGATAATGAAGTTGGAGTTGTCCTAACACACAACGCGCTACCTTTATTCGTTCTTAAATCAGTTATTTTTAAATTAAACAGGCATTGCAGCAAAAGATTGCTGTGAAGGAAGATAGCAAATAAACTTTGCAGATATTTAAGGTGAGTTCATGCCATGCGAGAATGCAGCAAAAAGATGGGGTGATCATTTCTGTTGGAAGATTCAGCAAACAAGTTCAACAGACAGGAGATATCAGATGCTGACCAGAGGTGGGAATTAAAATGTCAGCAGCAAATGAAAGATGTTGGGAATGCACCATGGAGGTCCTTGGACATACAGCAAGAGTTTGATGCAACAGAGAAGAAGCCTGAGGAAAAACGAAGAATAGAGGCAATTTGGTCATGGGAGCGGGCTAAAAATACTCTTTGCAGTAGCATTCTGATTGGACAGAATAAGTCCAGACTGCATTTTTCAAGGATAGAAATGAGGACATAAGACACAAAGTGATGAGAGCTTGAAATATAGTTTAACAATGCAGAGCAACAGGAAAAGTTAAAGAGGTCACGCAGAAAGAATCTGCGGAACTGAGATGTAGCCTCACGTAGCAAGAGATCAGACTTGTAGACAATGACTGGATTACAGACCTAGACAACAGGCTTCATGATGTGGTTGTTCACAGTGAGAGCGGAAGGCTTGAAGCAGCTGTAATGTGGGCAGCTCAAGCTTGACTAAACATTTTTTGTTACGTTGACATTTTAATCACAAAAACTGAATATAATGGTTGAAACAGGTTCTTGAAGATTTCCAATTTAAATGTAAAAACTACTAATTTTCCTCTCGAAGAGTAGATTTTCTGCAAAGTAGTCAAACATCCAACCACATCTGTAGCTTTTTCTTTATTAGGAGATTTTCGGCATCTATATTATACTAGAGACAGAGGAAAAGTCCTTAATAAAGCATCATCTAACAGGTTTCTCTTCACTTGCAAGATTATGCATCATCAATATTAAAAAATACAAGCAATAATACTACAGTATTTGTACTCACTACTCTAAATTGTTCCAATTTCTGATTGCCTTTAATAAAGAATGGGCACTCTTTATCTCCTGTTCTGTGTCCATAACGTTTACACCTCCAACCTTAAAAAAAAGAAGCAGCAGTGAATTGCACCTCTGAGCCAGATCAGAAGAAGGAAAAAAAACAAACAAAAAAAAAGCATATTTATGGAAAATATTTTCAATTCGTTTAAACAAATAAATAGATACAAGTATTACGTTGATAAATGTAACGTCCATAAAATGCATTTTATGCATTTTATTACAGCCTTCAAGATAACTTGTTGCTTTTATATCAATATGATGCCAATCTACCTGGACCTTGTCATCTGTCCACCAGACATTCTGCCCTCCCCCAGAGTAAACGGATGGCTACATGAAGGTCCAATGACATCTGGAATATTTTCAGCCTTACACTGCATGACCTTGACTTCTTTTCCCAAAGGCATCCAAAGCCCTTTTGTCGGGGCATGTGCCAGGAATTCTCGTGCACTTTCATTGCCTGGTACATCAGGTATGCAGTCTTCTGGTTTTGTTTCATTCTCCTATGGAAACAGATAAGGACAATAAAATCGTATTTTTTTTTTTTAACTTTGTAAAAATTAATACTCCAAGGCTTTCATTTAATATGGAACCTATTATCCCTGTAACATTTCTTTTTTCTTGTAACACATGAAGGATCCAAAATACCTAATCCTTTTAACAGCATTAAGTCATTTTCTTTTTCCCTCACCCTTGACTTTTCTACTCTGAACTTTATTGCCATATTAATTCCATTCCTTCCCGTTTATTTTAGTAACTTATTTAAATAAAGATTATAAATGAAAAATTAACAGACAAGCAGAGACGACTTTTTCCTCTGCCTGGTAACAAGACATAATAATTAAAAACAGCCCTTACAACACACAGCAGTACTTTTTAGGTTAAAAGCACTAGATTCTGTCTTAGGTATAGGAATTTGGCAAAAGCAATGATCATTATGAAAGGAAAGTATTTTTACACAAATATTTGAGCATAAGGAACAGAGAATAATCCTGAAAAGATGTCATTCAAACTGAAAATCTGCTTCACGATAAATGACTCCCCTCTATCCACACTAATAAACACTGCATTAAGTGTTAGAGGTGATGAAAGAACTGGTATCATCCTATCTGATTCTGGGCATTTCACTCTGGATTCACCAAGTCAAAGAGGCTGGCTTGTAACTGAGGAGCTCTGAGTTTTCCCCTGGAAGCACCTACTTCTCTCTGTAACTTACATAGGTAACGCAGACACTTAAGATAAACGGCTAAAAGACAGGTTGTGTGAAAATCCCTTGTAATGCTAAAAATTTATTGCAATATATTTACCAACCTTAATTAGCCCTGGGGGAGGTTTCTCATAGCTGAAAAGCAATAGAAATATTGTTACTCTGCAGCTTAGCACAGACAAATAAATTGAGAAAATACAGTACTTCAATGGTATAGAGTTAAAACCTTCACCTCACATTTTCCCTTAAATTTTACTCAATCACTAATCACTAAGAAGTATAGCAGAACACAGATACCTGGATGCAAGCAGACTGAGACACAGAGTTTGTCATATCACCACGTGTCTCTTGCAAACATCCTTCAGATTCATATTCTTGCGGGAAAACAACTACTTCCATCTCACTGCTTTACAGGGATGTGTGGTACCTCCAATCCAGCTTCAGTTACCATAAATGCACAATTCTCTCCTCTTTTTCTGTAGCATCCCTCCCCAAGATCTCACTGATCCAAATTTCTTCACTCCAGCACTGCTGAATCATAAGACATACTCAGCTGAAAATGTCGTCAGACTATTCCTTACATCTAGCTTTGCCAGCCAAACCTAGTATATAATAATAATTTAATCTTCTCTTTGTGTATTAAACCTAAAGACAGAACTTTACTGACCAAAGTACCATCTTTTCTGCAGCACTTCTCTGGAGTTAATAGTAGATATAAAATTTATTAAAATGCAAATAGCAAGCAGGTGCTACATAGAGCACAGCATCTGAGAGAGTGCACGTGCTTAGGAGTTAAATGCCAAGATGCTATGAAATGGCCTTTATAACAATAACTTTATGAGTGCTGTTTAGTGCATTTCATAACAAACAGATTTTGACTTTCACTCGGAAAAGAAAAAAATCATGTTCTTGTGAACGTGACCTTTTTATTCCGTTAAACCCCTTTCAATGAAACAGCATAAACCTCTTACAGCACCCTGGGCTACTGATGGAGTCATTAGGCAGATCTCAAACCTTTTTATTTTTTTTTTTTTTTTTTTTCCAATCCACTCTAGTGGAAACGGGCTGAACAACCTCTGCTTCTATGCTGCAACTCCCAGACTTCTAGGGACCTGGAAGAGACCCGTTCTTCCCCAACAAAAACCCTTTGAAGTCACCGAGCAGCCCCGAAGCCCCGCAGGGAGCACAGCGCTGCTCCGAGGGGCAGCGCGGCTCTCGGGTCGCCGGAGGCCCCGGCGCCGCCGGCCGGGACTGCTCCGAGCGAGACC